GGACTGTGTGGCCCACTTCACGTACTAACAGGTAAATAGCTTGATCAATCATTGAACTGCTGGGATTAAGGGGTGAGGTGTTTGTTAACCTATTGAGGGTTATATAATTCTTGGTTGGCAGAAAAACAAAGTCAGTTTGTTCCAGATGAAGTTTCTAAAATAGGTTTTATTGGTGTGTATATACACCTCAGATCAAAAACATGTTGGGACGCCATGTAAAACATAAATAAAAAGGGAATACAATAATATGCAAATCCTTTTTGACCTGTATTCAATTGAATACAGTGCAAAGACGAGATATTTAACATTCAAACTTTATTGTTTTTGGTAGATGTAGACTTATACTGAATCTGATTTCTGCAACTCGATGCAAACATTTGAGGCACCGTGTGACATCACCTTTTCTTTTAACAACACTCAGTAAGTGTTTAGGAACTGAGCTCTCAAACTGTTGAATTATAAGCCACATTTCTCACTCAAGATTCACAAGATGGCTCCTGAAAATCTTCAAGATTCAAAGACTGGCTGTGTGAAAGAAAGGGCACCGTGTCATAGTCCGTGCCTTTCCTTCCTCCCTCCTGTGTCAGCAGTTTTCCCCCCTCCCCTTTATATCTTGGGTTCCTTGTTTGTCTCTCTCTGGGTGTTTCTCAAAGTCAAGGAAGGATCCTCATACGGCCGGATTTCAAGGATACTACGTCATCAAATCCTGCTGAAGGACTGTTCGCAGGGCTGGATTAAGACTTCCCTGGGCCCCTGGGCAACAACATTCAAGGGCCCCATCCCCGGTTACTTAAACTTTACAAAACTCAATGCAAAAATGACAAATAGACACAAACACACAATGCATATTTGCTTTTATTTGTCATGTTTGCATTGAGTTTTGAGAGTACATTGACTAAAAGATATTGTAGTTTCTTGAGACATTTTAAGGTAAAAAGTTGGAAAGTTTTGCAAAAAAAAAGTTGCACAATTTCACAAAAGTCAGAAAATTTTGCAAGTTAACTTTTGGGGAAAAAAAAGTTGGAAAATGTTGCAAAAAAAAGAAGAAAATTTAGCCCAAAAAAAGTACAAAATTTTTCAACAAAGTTAAATTTGGATATTATTCAAAAGTAAAATATACTGCAAAATGTCAAAACGTTGCAACAAAATTGGAAAATTTAGCAAAACAAGGTGAAAAATAATGCCAGAAGTCAAAATATTTAACAAAAAATTATCAAAATTATGCAAAAAATAAAAATGTGATATATAGTAAATATTAATCATAGGCTAAATGTCAGGCCCTGGGCCCTGTAGAGGTCTTGGGCCCCTGGGCAAGTGCCCCATTGCCCATATAGTTAATCTGTCCCTGACTGTTCCAATGTCAAGGATCCTTCCGAATTTCACAGAGGACTGAATCCTTCTTTCAGAGAAATTCCAAGGATGCATGTGTGTGTCCTCAGCAGTTCTAAAATCCCCACAATGCACATGATTTGCCGGAAGTGAGAGCACTGCCTCTTCAATGGAACTTTGACGGGATTTAGATAAATATGTCATTTATTTGGATTGATGTCTCCACGAGTTTTTGTTATACAAGCGTGAAAAAAAAGTATGATCCAGAAATGTATTCTCCCTAAAAGTCACTTGACTTTGAAAACACTGATACATTTGTGTAAAATGATACAACAACATTAGAGGGTGCCAAAATGATCACAGTACCCTGAAACCTCCTCCATCTGCTGAGAGTTAATGACTCACACCTGGGGACACTCGTTAGCCTGTTCCAGTGTGTGTTGGCTGAATGCTAGGAAGGACTCTTGCCTTGCCTCTGCAGGACCTGTCCTCCCAAGGGAGAATCCTTGTCTTTGAGAAACAACCACTACTGTGTCTGTGTGTGGCTCTCACCAGTGCTGCTGCCAATCTGCCGGCTCACCTGAAAGCCATCAACTCATCAAAACCAGCAGTACAAATACTGCTACTCTGCAGTCCAGAGGCCGTTTATACGTACACAGTGATTTTGATAAACGGAGACATCTTCCTTCGTTTGTGCCTTTCGTTTACACGCAAACGGAGATTTCTCCTCTGAAAACGAGTCTTTCTAAAAACTCCGGCCAGAGTGGAGATTTTGGAAAACTCCGGTTGCGCGTTTGCATGTAAACTGAGATAAACAGAGATAAACGGCAGTCGACGTCACAGTATGGGCCGGAACTTGCGCCTGTGTCAAAAGTGCGACCTATGTTGCTATGGTGACAATGGATACATGGAAGGCTTGAGCTTCTCGTTACACTGCCACCTACAGGTTTGGCATGCTCTTGTGTATATATACACGGGAAAGTGTAAACAAAGATCTTTTTGAAAACAGAGACGGTGAAATGTCCGTTTATGAAAATAGCCGGCCACGTGTAAACGGCCTCCCAGTCTCCACCAAATTGTTCAGCCTACCTTGCGGTGCTAACTACGGCCTATTTGTTGGTTATTGCTTTTTTCCCTCTTTGATTTTGTGTCTCTGTGCCTCAGATCCACACTCACCAGCCAGCTGTCTGAGTCAACAAAGTCAGTAGTATTCATCCTCTGGGCATCGTGAATAGGTTGTGGGATATTTCAGTCTGAACCAAAGTGGTATTGGCCAACAGAGCAACACTGTCATTTTTGGAGCTACGCCAACCTACTGTATAACTTGCATAATAAGAGTTCAAGAAAAGAGGAAAAGAACAGCCACTTGTAAATGACTGCACACTGAGGCCTCCCTGCACTTGGCCAAAGGTCCTGATGAAGGGGCGGGATCAGAGCTTGTAGTGTGACAACACTGTCCCTGGAACATGTGAGCAAGCACATTTTACATGCGGAGGCAAGTTTACATATACACATTGTGATCAAGTGTCACTGATTAATCTGCACTGCCTACTGACTGTAAGGACCACATTGTTTTGCTCGTGCTGTTGTGTAATGCACTGTACTCGACTGCGTGTGGAAATACTGTTAGAAAACGATTAGCCTGAAATAACACTGTAGTGACATTTATGTGACCTCCAATAAGGAAGCACACATATGGCGTGGCGGGACAAGGATGAAAGTTAAGGCAGTGAAAGTCTCATTCAACTCTCCAACAAACACCGACTTTCACCCGAGAGAGCGGTGTTCACGTCTCGTAAGATTCCAAAACCAAACTCTGTTCTTTTTTCCTAAACCCAACCACATGTTTTTGTTGTTAAATGAAAAAAAAGTCAACTTGCAGTGTTGTACCGTGCGTTTATTTTGAAAGAGACTGTATGTAAACTTTAAATTTCCTGTGAAAACAGAAGTGTATCTTTAAAGAAGACAATGCGTGTAGCAGGCAGAAATTGACAGCGTCCCAGAACTTCAACAACTAACGTACCCAGGGTACCTTAAGTCCATGAACAAACGTCAGCATGTGACGAGGTTGGAGTTAGGATGTGATGTTGAACATGGATGGACAGAAAATTGAAGGCGGAGCCGTTCATTCATATGTTAACTGTGCGGTGGTGCATGAAGCCAAAAAAGTTTGACTTCCCAGGCCCATGGAGCAAGCGATCTAGAGACTTTGCCAGCCGTGCGACTAACTTTCCGTTTAGCTCTCCACTAACTCGAATGGTGATAAATTGATTTTATTGGGTAACCCTTCTAGATTTTCAAAATGTTATCGGACCGAATAAATCAAATCCAGAGAGTGAAACGAGTCATTTTGCTGGGGTTGCGATTTTTAAAATATCTGGGGGCACCTCAAGTTTTGCAATTTGGCTGCTGCCATCTTGGATTTTTTTTTTTTTGGGAGCCAGAAGTGAACAAATTTGGAATGAGAGGGTGAAGCTGTGGAGGAGTGAGGGGTGGATCTGACTCATAGACTATGGTGACACCTCGTAGACAGCCTGTCAGTCAAGCGGCCATGCCCTTAATTCTGAGTAACTTTTAAAAGTCCCAGTGAAACAGAAATTAGAGCGACTTCAGCTGCTGTACCAACACATTCTCACTCCGACCTCGTCACATATTGACGTTTGGTCACGGACTTTCCACGTCCACATACGACATGCAACGTACCCTGGGTGTGTTGTTGACATTCTGGGACACCGTGTCAAGTTCTTCTTGTTACATACATTGTCTTCTTTCAAAATCCTTCCTTTTTGGGAAACAAAGACACACAAAGACACACACAGATTAAGTTTGCTAACAAGTGACAGCATGCTATGCTGTTACTTGTTAGCGAACTTAATCTGTGCAGCTAAGTTAAAGATTGATTGTTATAGTGGATGTTGTCTTATTGGGTGAAACTGGTTGGTATTAGCTTACACAAGCACAAGACATATTTTGTTTAAATGGAAGAAAACATGATTGGATTTTGATAGAGGATAAAAAGACATTGATTTTATGCGTTTTCTTCTGGCATATATTGTTAAACAGGTGCACAATATGTCCAGTGATATTATCTAAAAGGGTTTGAAAGCCAATTTTCATTTCATCTCGAGTTAATCTGTAAATTATATAAAAATTCCCTGTTTACAGTAAATCTGCTGTAAAGTTAGGCATTTTAAGATGGGGGTCTGTGAAGATTGACTCACTTTTGGAGCCAGCCTCAAGTGGCCATTCAAAGAACTGCATTTTTTGCACTTCTGCGTTGGCTTCATTTATTAGTCCCCGAGGTTACTGCTTGGTTTGAAAGTAGGATGAATATCAGATAAAATAAAATTTATTTCAGGTAGTTTTTTGTTGAACATACACGTTACACTGCTGACTGTAAACTTATCAAGAGGTGGTATTAGGTGGGTTTATCCAAGGTGAAGTCCCATCATATAATTATCTTATTTTCTGTTTTTTTGTCTCAACATGTCAACAACCTATAAATGTTGTGCCTCTGATTCTTGCAGTTTCAAGATAAAATCCGCACTGAAAAAAACAGTAATAAGACAGAGCAATTGTAGACTGATTGCCCAGCCACTTCTCGAAACCCGAACAGCATCACTAGCACTTGCTGGTCTATTTTAAACCTTTACACCAGTGAGCATGCTATTGCACTCACTCACAGGCAGCAACTAGCACGTAACACAAGACAGACTTGCCAGCAAACAAAAACACAGTCTGTGAAGAGTAGTATAGGATATCAAAGCTGACGTCATCTCAGTTCAATATCATCTGAACCCTGGCGCTGGATAGCCTCAGCACACCTCCGGTACGATAGATCTTTCCTGCATGTGCTTAGCTAATGTCATGCTAACATGCTACTGCTTGTACTCTGAACTGACTGTGCATGTCTGCCTGGTGTGAGGTGGCCTGTGTATGTTTAGCACACCCACTGACAGTGTCACTATGGCCTCTGTAAGTGTCTGAGTTTGTTGGCCAGCTGCTCAGGGGCGGAACCAGTTAAAGATACTGGTCAACATGGAGAAGAAAGGCCTCTACATATGGAGCAAAGCCATTCAGTACCTCTCCAACCAAACATCACCTGAGTGGCTCCTCTTTGATGTTTGTCCATAGTAGGAACAACCAAGTGTCCGTAACCTTTTGTACAATTACTGCACTTACTATACAGTGACTGTCGTGATCATTAGCTGTAAGCCTACTAGAGCAAAACACCGGCAGTGATTCATTAGCTCAGCTGGGGGGAAAAAAGAAAGTGACCATGTTTGACTTTATGTGCTCTGTACATAGATCCAGTTCACTGGACATAGTTACGTAAAGTCAGCTTTCACACTTTGGGAAATGATTTCCTCTTCATGCAGTATTTCAATCAGGCCAACTAATGCACATTTTTACTTAAGTTACAGCTGTTGTTCGAGCTCAGTTACAGACCACCAAGATTACAAAGCACTTCTCGAATGGAAGCCCATAGCATTTGCTGTGGTGCACCCACAAATCTTTCATAGGGGTGGCCAGATGGGGTGACTGAAAATCTTGGGCTGGCACACCAAAACCAAAAGCCATGACTGAATACCATTATGCTGTTGTAGTGTAAAGGCTAGTTGAAAACAATGTCAGTATGAAAATTAATCGCATACTTTGGTTTCTAATTTTACACTTAGGGTCTCATTCATGACATGTAAGTAAATCTGAGAGTAAATTTGCACATAGAAAACCTCAGTGCTACAAACCTACTCCGGATTCATGAACACCGCGGAAAAATCGGATTTGATCGTAGGCATGTGTGTATGTTCATGAATGCCAATCAATTGTAAATTCCCAGCACACTCCCGCTAGTCAGCAATTAGCATACATCCCCGCCCATGAACAGCCAGTGACTGCCATATACGGAAGTGATAATTATGGATAGGCGCGTCCTGTTGACCTGCAAACATGGAGCAAACAAAGAAAGACAGGGAGAGACAAAAAGAAAAACTTGTCTGACGCTGACAAATTTATGTTTTTTTTTATTTCTACAACATAAACACATGGTCAGGTTTAGAAAAAAAGAAAAGGGTTTGACTTTACGGGACACGAACACCACTCTCTCGGGTGAAAGTCAGTGTTTATTGGACCCATTCACCACATCTCCTACCCACCACACTCGGACTTCCACTGCCTTAACTTTTGTCCTTGTCCCGCCATGTTTCCCCCGATGCAGCTAGGCGCTGTTAGACTATAACATCAACCAGCTGCATATCATGCCAACGTTAAAGGATGCCTTTTTTCATTGGTTTCTGATGCTGCAAGTCACTGCCCAAGCGCCGGATTTCAATGACTTCCGAGTGAGACCAGGTTTATTCACTCAGACGGGCCTTTCTGCTGTAGTATTGGACTTTATATATAAAACTGAAATTGAACTGAAATTCTTATTTGTATAGTCCTTTGAGGCATACTTGTGATATCCAACGAATTAGCGCCCTACTGTATGAATGATGCACTCAACATTAAGTGATGGAGTTTAGGTTTAGACCAGTAAAGTTACTGTGGTTAGGTTTAGGAAAAGAAACATGCTGACCACGTACCTTAAAGGGACATAAAGTTCACTCAGAGTTCACACAGTTCCAAACACTGGTTTACTGAGGAAAGTCCCATGTTTTGAGTCCCATCCACCTCCAAAATCTTCTGCTGCTCGGGACCAATCACTTCTTTACTCTCATCAGGGCATTGGTCACGTGAATGCACCCGTTATGCATGAATAACTGGCTCGTGATTACGTGGGATATGTTAGGGTGACCATATTTTGATTTCCAAAAAAGAGGACACTCGGCCGGCCACGACATAGCCTACTTAAATGATACTCGCAGTTTACTCAAAGATGCCTTATCATTTTAATATATTTAAAATTTATATGTATGGATAGAAAATTCAGTTATATTACAAAATAATATCTCTCAAAGACAGAAATTCAGATAGGCCCCAATAGGGGACACATACACACACTAGAGTGTGGCGATCTGAGCCCGACGGTACCTGACAGGTCGGGCCGGGTTTGGTCAAAAATGTAGCTATAAATTGTATTCGGGCTCGGGTCGGATTCGGTCAGCTTTCAGTGAAAATGTAGTGTAAAAATAAATAAAATCCTATTGTCCTGTTTATTGCTTGGGCACTGTTATTTACGTGACAACACCTGAGCATAACACACACAGACACACATTGGCTGTTTGTTTCTACCTCTCCCCTCTCTGGAAGTCTTGGACCTCCAGCCACCCGCCTCCGCCTTGATTAAACACTGAAAATAAAATAAAAGAGGGAGACAGGTTTTTCCTATTTTATCTTATTTTGTTTTATTTCTCCCTCTCCTCTTGCTGGAAGCGTCGGACCTCCTGCCTCCCGCTCCCGTCTCATACACGGAGGTGTCCCTCTCCGCTGAGCTTGCCCGGCCTGTTAAATAGCCTGTAACCGTAACAACTGTGTGACACAAACTCTCTGCTTTGGTCATTAAATAATGTCGGGCTCGGTTTGGGTTCAGACAGAAATATGCGGCGCCCTGGACGGGACGTGAAAAGTGGACATGTCAGGGCAAAAGAATACGTTTGGTCAGCCTAGGATATGTGTGAAATTTGGATCATTACTTCTACGAATGAGAACAGCATGATTAGGGTGGCCAGGCCCCCTTCTCTTTGCCCCCCACTTGGTGGCGCCACTGTATGTTTGGCTGTCAACTTACTTTAAGTTTGTTTTTGTTTGATATGGACAGATTATAAAACCTATTGTGACCTCTTACAAGAAAACAGAGTCCATTTTAAGCCCTTCATTATTTTTCAAATGTTGCAAATGCTAACAGAGACATTTCACTTCTAAACGCCTCAGATGGGTTAATTTAAATACCTCTTTGACACTCACAGAAACAAAGATGAGAAAAAGTCTAAAATATCAATAGAATTTTGTGCAGCAGAGCTTTGTTTATTTCTTTTCCCTGCACCAATAATCATCTCAACCCCTAACTACAATTTACTGCTAAGAATCTGAACCATCTCACTCCTCATTTTCTCTTTTATGATGCGTGTTTGGCATTACTCTGCCACCAGGTCACATATTGTATGCTGACAACAGTGGCACAGACATCCAGAGTCCATGGATGATCCAGAGCTGGACTCTGCTCAGGCAGAGCATGGCTCGCTTCTGCTCAGGCAGCTGGAGAGGATGCGAGCAGCCGAGGAGCTCACTGATGTGGTGCTGCTCGCAGAGGGGATTCCCTTTGCTTGCCACAAGGTGGTGCTGTCTGCCTTCAGCCCATACTTCCAGGTAAAGATGCCATGCACAGTTACTTGCAGTTACTTGAAAGTTACAGTGCTGATATGGGAAAATACAAGATGATGCAACATGTGTTTTGTCCAGGCCATGTTTACGTGTGGTCTGAAGGAGACACGGGGAGGAGAGGTACCTCTTAGAGACACACCTGCCAAAAGCCTGGAGCTGCTACTGGACTACATGTACCGAGCTGAACTGCCTCTTTCCAATGACAACATCCAGGGTGTGGCTGCTGCAGCCTTCCTGCTCCATGTAGACGGAGCCTTCAGGTGAAAAGAGACTGGGGAGTGATCATTATTCAGATAAACTAACATATTGAAATAATAATATCAGAGGCATCAAGGTGATATAAGAGCAACGTACATAATAAATTTTACAGTAGATGTGTAAATAGTAAAGAGGACTGTGATCTAAAGTTTGTTTGAAGAAGTACTGACACTATTTTGTTCCCATCACCACCTTGATGTTACTGCCTCAGGTTGTGTCAGAGCCACATGGAGGCCCGGATGGACCCCTCCAACTGTGTCGGTCTTTACCACTGGGCCAGAGACCTGGGGGCCACTGGTCTGGCCGACTGTGCCTTGAGATACCTTTGCCAACACTTTGCACAGGTGGGGCATTCATTATTAGTAGTTTAAGATATTCATCCAATTCGAGCCATAAGTCAAGGGTCTGTGACCCCTCAGTGGTCCTCAGCGTTACTGCAGACTTAACAAAAATTGTTCTGTCACCATTTTTACTTTCACTGCCCACCGGTCGGAACAAACGTTCTCATTTTACAGCTAAACACTGCACTAAAATATGTTTCTGAAAACATCCGTGGTGAGAAATAGGCAGCGCAGTAACAGAATCTTGACTCATATTTGATCAGCGCTGCCTAGTTTGGTCTGACCACAGCTAATGAGCCACGATTGACATGACTCACACTAACATGAGAGACTTCTCAGCTCTGACTGGTTGTTTTTGTTCACATGCAGTAAGGGCCATAGGCAGAGGAGAATGATTTTTTAAATGGATTATCTGTCTCGTGTAGTGCTGTGTGTTTAAGCAAATGTGAAAATAGTTATTTTATATAAAAGTTACCATCTACAGCTTTAAAGGCTCAGAGCAGATGATCTGTTGCTCCACTAAACAACGCTTGAATGGTGCTCTCTGTCTGCATGACATTTTAGCTTCTCTCTCTGACTTGTTTTTCAGCTACTTGATGATGCCACTAGGTGGCAGAAATCACTTGCTCTTCTTTTGCACAGTCAGGCACAGGTGTTGAGACATTTTGGGAATTACAGTGTTTTGGTTTGGTTTATTACTCTTTGCTACCATCCACTACATACTCTTTCTTTTTAACTCAGTCATTGCTGTGGTTTACTCCCCTTTGTTTCCCCGCTGTGACTGTCTTTAGGTTTGTGAGGAAGAAGAAGTGCTGGAGCTGGATGCCCAAAGTCTTGGGGATCTGCTGGGTTCAGATGACCTCAACATATCACAGGAGGAGGTTGTGCTGGAGCTGGTGCTGCGTTGGGTGGAGAGGCGAAGGGGGGACTCGCAGAGTGAAGCCCAGGCTGTGGATTTACTCAGGCGTGTCCGGCTAGAACTTGTGGACCCTGGATTCCTCCGTAAAGCCAGGAGGAGAAACCCGGTGAGAGAGGAAAGGGAGGAAAGGGACAAATAATAAAAGTCAAGACTTCTTATTCACATTTATCAAAGGATTGGTAGATTATCAGACTTCTGTGCCTTTAAATGAATCCTCCAGGTGTTGCTGAGGGATGCTGAGTGCTTTGGGATGATTGACGCTGCTCTACAGACCTCAGGTCTCTGTGAGACGTCAGCTCCACCTCGGCCGGCGCTCCGTTACGGCATGGAGACCACTGACCTGCTGCTCTGCTTGGGTGGGGTGGATGAGGAGGGGGTGCCTGCCCGCCGTGGAGGACATGCTGACCTCAGTTTTTGCTTTGCCCCCAGTGTTAGAAGGACTTACTACATCCCTTCTCCACTGAGGGGCTGTGGAGGTAGGGGGCAGATCACAGCTGGGGCAGTGACTCGAGACAACAACATAGTGGTGGCCATAGAGACAGAAGACCAACACAGGAAGAAGAAGCTGGATGTCTACAGGTGTGTGGGGGGGGTCACATATGAGAAATACATTCTCTTTAAATGTCATTGCATTGAAAACCAGATCTAAAATGTTTGTTTATGTTCCAGATACGATAATTCAGAGGAGAACAGCTGGGTGGAGCTGTGCTCGACAGCACACAGGGACATGTACGCTTTAGGGCTGCTAGGTGATTCCCTGTATATGACAGGAGGCCAGATAAAAGTGCGTAATCACTATATCATCACAGACAGCGTGGAGAGATGGTCGCTGAAGAGAGGAGGCAGCTGGCTGAGCTTCGCCTCTCTGCCTCTACCCTTAGCCTGCCACTGCACCGTCAGCCTGAAGGAGCATCTCTATGTGCTGGGGGGCTGGACACCACAGGTACACACACCTGTGCATCTATGGAAAAATACTCATGCAATGACAATGGGTAGTAGACTGACTGGATGCTGAAAAAAAAGAAAAAGTTGTGATATTAAGAGAATTTCATGTTTTTGCAAATGCACATGCTCTAAATATCCTGGGGGGAAATTAACCCCCAAAACTCCCAAATCAAATTGTGTTACAATCACAAATTCACAAATTCCTGCACCCAGTGGCTTTAAAGCAACTCAATGATTTCATGTTAGTAAAAGGTTGAATATAACGTTTGCCCTCTCAGTCTGTCACTGATTCTCCTCCGCTGCTTCTCATCTCTCACCTCAATTTCCCATCTTTTCCCTCCTCCTTCCTTCCAACTCTCTCTCCTCCACGCTCAGCATCAGCCAGATGATGAGCCTGACAAGCTGAGTAACCGTGTGTTTCAGTATGACCCTGGCAAGGACAGGTGGACTGAGTGTGCCAGGATGAAGTACTCCAGATACCGCTGCGGTACGGCTGTACTCAATGGAGAAATCTACGTATTAGGTCAGACTACCGGACACACTGCGACTGTATTCCTACAATTTTGCTCCACACAAGAGATGATAATGATCCTGAATGGCTTGTGTGTGTGTGTGTGTGTGTGTGTGTTCAGGTGGTATAGGATGTGATGGAGAGGACCGTGGGCAATCACGACGTTGTCTTAGCTCTGTGGAGATCTATAACCCGGATACAGACACCTGGAGGGCAGGGCCAACTCTGCCCACTTCTCTGCTTGCCCTCCGAACCAATGCCTCCAATGTAGGAGCGCTGGAGGGCAAACTCTACCTCTGTGGATACTACAAGGGGGCCGGTCAGTGATTTTTTTTGTTTGTTTGCTTTGATTTACAGCTTGTTTTGCGTGGTCTCCTAAAGAACTGCCCCCCAATAAGTTTAACTTAATGGTGAAATGACCTTTGCACAAAAACAAGACACACTTTGTGTCGGCATCAGAGTTAGGGAATGCCATCTAACTAATGAGGCAGTATCTGTGTGGAAATTAGATTTCGGTCAGCCATAACTTACATACTTTCTATCACGACTGCAGGCCGTCATGAGATCATCACCAAGGAGATTTTGGAGCTGGACCCTGCGGACAATGTGTGGACGGTGGTGGAAAGACGAGCAGCCGTGCATGACAGTTATGATGTCTGTCTGGTGGCTAACCTCAATCCTCGAGACCTCTTCACACCCTAATTCATCTCCTCCTGACTCTGAGCAACAACGCATGGAGACAGGGTGTGTGGGAAATGAGCTGTCCTCTTAATCTCGTACAGCTTTATCAAAAGTGGGCTTGATATCTGGTATCACATGTATCAACAGCAAGGTCAATATACATGTGAAGTCAGGGTGTACTTGAGGATTTCCCAAAAAAGACAATGGTGTTCTTTTAAAGAGTAAGTTTTTACACCCTATTTTCTTATGTTTTGTGTCAAAGTGGTTAGTACTGAGTGAGACTGCTGCAGCCGGAGGCAGAGAAACAGGCTGCAGTGTAACCCACTCAGGGCATGTTCGCACCATCAATTGACATCATCTAAAAGTGCTTCTTTTTGCCCTGACAGGCTCAGATTGTTCTTATAAGTGTCTGACAATTTTTGAAAAGGATCACCACAGAGAAAGAACTTTTTCTCTAAGAGTAAGAGTCTTTTTGTTTAACCAGAAACAGCTCTGAAAGTGCAGTCGCCAAACCCACCAGACTCCATTTAAAAAATATATAATTTTATTATTGTTAAACACATTTCAGTGAAAGTCGACGAAAACGAAATGAAACTTACAAAAGCCGTCTTGGTTTGTCTTTCTGCTTTTCCAACAATCACCAACTCTGGTTCGGTTGATATACACCCCTACTTCAACCAGTTAGATGTAAAATTATGCTGGCTCTATACATGCTAAAATTACTGTTTATTTAAATGGAGTCTGGTGGTAATGGCAATGGTGATTTCGGGGCTTTTTCTGGTTAAACAAAGAGGACCCTACTCATTCACAAAAGGCCTGTCTCTGTAGGGATGCTTTCCATAAATTGTGAGACACATAGAACAACAATCTGAGCCTGTCATCGGCAAAAACAAGAACTTATAGTGAACATAAATTGACGATGCGAACATGCCCCGAGTGGTTACACTGCAGCCTGTTTTGCCGCTGCCATCTGCAGCAGTCTCACTCAATGCTGGACCATTTTCAGAAATTGTTGTTCCCATATGTAACAAATGGGAACAAAAATGCAGATCTTACCTTTCATTCTAAAAACTATTCATATAAAAAGCTCAGCACAGTTTAGGTAATTTAAACTATCTGGGTAAGAGTAGAAAAAGATTGTGGTCACTGTCACCGCTGGCTTTTCACAGGAGGCAGGATGCAAACTTCCTCCACCTTTACTTCTGACAGACAACTGTCCTGGATCATGTGACCACAAGAGGTTGATTGTCACGTAACCTTTTTGGTGTTTTAAAGGAATAGTTTGCCAATTTGGGAAATGTGCTTGTTGAGAGGTAGATCGACCTTCCATTCTAATTCTGAGCAAGGATGTGAATGAGTATATTCCCAAAAATATAATTATTTCTTTAGCATTTGAGCAAATTACCGATACTGTCATTTTTTTCTGGTCCAACATTTGAGGTGAGGAATTTCAAATTAGCTTGTTTTGTCCTTTAAAATCTCAGTGTGTAGGATTTTGGGGGATATTTTGGCAGGAATGGAATATAATATAATAAGTATGTTTTCTTCAGTGTGCATTCACCTGAAAATAAAAAAACATCATGTTTTCATTACTGTAGAATGAACTATGTCTACAATGGGAGCAGGCCCTCATCTAAGGAGTCCACCATGTTGCACCACCATGTTTCTACAGTAGCCCAGAATGGACAAACCAAACACTGGCTCTAGATAGGGTCATTCACGTTTTTGTGTCGGCCACCATAGTTAGCAGCCCCTCTGCGACCACTTTAAATCCCCAGGTCAATTTGCTTTGGAGAGGAAGTGACCTCTTTGGATAACACGGCTCCTGGTAAAAACCTCCTTCTCAGGACTTCTCAGCAGGAGTTTATGCTTGGCACACGGGAGAAGTTCCACCTGGTTGCAAACTGCAGTCCTCATGCTAGATGTCACTAAATCCTATGAAGATTTTTTTTTACTTTTTGACTGTACTGCCATCTGAAGGAATGATAGAATAGGATAGAGATCTCTATTGTTCACTCACATGGAGATTTGTCTTTGAAGATGGAGAGTATCTTTCTTTTTAAAACATTTAAGTGACTCCCACATTCAAAAGCACCCAAGTTCTGTTGCAAAATAATTGTAGTAAATTGAACAGGAATCACTTTTTATCCTTATAAAAGCTTATGACTGATAAAGCACAAATAAGTGGTTGATTGAGTGTTACACTGACATTTTTAGGCATAATAAATAATAAACCCAAGTAATTCTTGTTGTATAGTTGTCCTGTAATTCATGGATGTGTTACTGAGGTCCAGAGGCCAAAAGCGTCAGCACCCCTCCACACATATTACACTCACATTAATGCGACCGACCACAAAGAAACTCAAAAGCAAGGTTTCATCCAAGCACCTTCAGTGTGGTAACCAAAAGTAACCCTTCAGACATGGTACCTAGACCCTAGTGTTTCCACTGCAAACAGTACTCTTAAATGCGGGCGGGGTTGTTGTCACTCACTGCTCCTTCCAGCATTCACTGTATTTCCTCCATTATCAGTCTGCACCTCATTTATCGTCCACAGATTGAGGCTGCACACCATCATTTCAGAGCAAAATAACACAGGCTGCAGTGAGAGTCTCTCTCCATGGGATATTTAAAAATAGCGGGTTTGTGCATTTTGGTCTCGCTCACCAGACCTTTCTCAAAAAAAGAAAGGTCTGGCTGGGCCGACTCTCACTTTAAGATTGGAGAAAAAAAATGCCCCGGCTGCTTCAACCAATCACAATCGTTCTGGGCGGTGCCACAGCAAGGGTGCACTTGCAAAAATATTGCCGGGGGAAACAGGTTTTGGTGTAACACGCCCACAAAAATATTGCCTACAGGACACGAACCATGGCAGAAAAATGGCTACATCCCCCCAAGATCAAACACCGCAAAAGTTAGTAAAGGACGTGTTTAAAACGGTTGAAAACTACTACACAACCGGAGGTGGTAGGGCGGGACTTCAGCGGGTGGCTCGTTCTGCCCAATGAGAGGCTGATCTATGCAGCGAACTTCCGCCCACTCAGACTAGTGCATTTAGTTTAGCCAAGTGAGGATTAGAATATAATCCGGTCGAAATTAATATATAATTTTAAATTCTTGAAGATCCACTCATTACTGAAAGTGTATGTCATATAAAAACTGTAATGTTCAAAGTTTTCACAGTGAAATTTAAGGTGTGCTGATGGATTCATGTTGTCAATTCATACACTGAGTAACATTACAAGTAAATGTTCCACCTTAAAAGTCGCTGGCAGTCGGCTCAGTGAATTAAGTTATTTTTTCTCAGACTCCAGCTGCTGCAAGAGGCAGCAAAACATCCTTATATTTTATAGTTGCAGTCTGCAAATAAAACTCTCCACAGTATGAACAGTGGTTACATGAGCCTCAAAACCAGCCTCAACTCAGCCCTGAGCAGAGTGACTGTCCTCTCTTGACCAATCAACAGACTGCAGTGTTCACAGCTCCACCTTTTAGTACCAGATCTGTGTGCTAGGTACCCCAACAGAGGGGGGACCAAAAATGGGGATGGTATGGAAGGGATCCATTGGTACCATCCACAACTTTTCACAGTGCAAACAGAAAAAAAGCAAACCGAACTGAACTGAACCGTACTGCTCAGTGGAAACGGGGACAAACTGACCACAAAGAGATGCAAAGGAAATGCAAAGAGACAAAAATAACTACAAAAAGGGGCAAAGCAACCAGGAGGAGAAACAAAATGAGCACAAAGTCTGTGTGTCTTGCTCCTGTGTAGGAGAGGTGGTGGGGCCTTTTGCACATCTGTGCCCAGGGGCCCACACTCTCATAATCCGCCCATGCTGTAATCCCATGATGACTTTTTGCATGGTCTTTATAAACTGATATTGGTTAAGTTGCCTCTCCATAGATCATAACCCTTTCATGTGTCTTTATTATGTGGGTTTTAAATACAAAAGATGACTTAAATCGTGCAGTCTCACTAGCCACCATTACTCTTTCTCTCTGACTTCAAAGTCTCTGCTTCCTCCCAGTTTCTTCAAAATGTCAAGGATTTATTTTTTTCCTGGGCTCACCGCATGGCAAAGCATCAACAAACATGTCTGACTGAAGTGGTGGATTTAGGGTGAGTGTCTGACCCGCATGACATTCCATACGTGCCTTCTTCCCCTCTCTCCCGCTGTTGAGCCGGTCAAATAGGAGCCCTCGGAAAACCCAAAATGATCCCAAATGAGTGTGTGCGTCGCCGGGATGTTGCTATGAGAGCCGCTTTAGGAATGAGGAGGCTCCACCCATCGCTCCGGACCATGTGGTTCCCATCGCTCCTGTTGCTGTGTTTTTGAGGAGAGGGCGAAGGAGGAGTGTACAGCTGCTGCTTGAATTGATCGGATGGTTCTTTTTTGGATTTGCCCATGTTTAAGACTAGTTTGTGGCTTTGATAACGCTCTATATGGGCAACTGCTTGGTCACTAACAAGCGCTGTGGCTGCTTTTGTTCAGAGCTCAAAGTATTTAGGGGATCCAGTCCCAGCTGACAGGTGCGCACAGTGCGCAGAGAGGATGGGCAGACGTGAGGCGGATAGCAGAGGCGCAATGAGCACCAACGACCGCTCCGAGCTCGGCTGTCTGCGGGACGCGGCTTCCAGCGGCCACCGTGCCGGAGAGCAGTCCCCGAGGCTGGGCAGACACCCAGACATGGAGGCGGTTGGAGCGGCACCGAGCGCCACGGCGCCCATGGAAGTGAAGAAGCACCAGCACAAACACAACTTGAAACACCGCTATGAGGTGATGGAGACTCTGGGGAAAGGCACTTACGGCAAAGTGAAGAGGGCGGTAGAGAGAGCAAGCCTGAAGACGGTGAGTGTTGGTGGACATGATGCAAAATATTACATATGTGCCTGTGGGATGCTTTCTGTTATCAAGTTAAGTATTTAACATGGAGTGTGTGTGTGTGTGTGGGGGGGGGGGTGATGATGAGTTTGACCTCTTGACCTCCAACTAAAAGATTTATATAGATAATATGATATGCTGCTGATGCTTTTGTCTTCCTGGGAGGTATTCAGCAGTCTCCCCATATAAGTGTGTGCGTGTACCAAGATTTGTTGCTGCTCCAAGAATGTTGCCCATTGCTTATTAAATATTAATTTGGAGGTGGAGTTAAGCTCCTGAATGTCATGTGTGTGTTTGTGGGTGAGCTCATGAGCTGACGCTGAACCCAGTTCTTTCTTCCTGTGCTGCCAGGCTGAGATGCCTTTGGTCTGACTCACTCAGCACTTGAACAAGGGGATAAAATTGCTACAATAGGTCTCCTCCAATAGGAGCCTGACCCCCGTCACCAGAACACAACCACACACACACTGCACATACTCAGACAGACATAATAATAATATAACATGTTCCTGTTCAGCTTTACATTCTGAATATCCAGGTTAAAGACACCACGCGGAGCCAGATTACTTTGAATAATCGTGGGTTTATGTCCACAGTCAGGCCTTAATCCCTCACTTTGCTGTGATCTGAGCACAAAGAGACAGATACCCCGCCGGCCTGAAATTCCCCTTCTGTTTCTTTAGTAAACAAACACACTGTAATAGGGATAATCTTTTCTGCAATCAGATTGTGGAAGTGAGTCTGGCATAATTCCTTTTGCTGCTTTCACTGTAACTCTGAGACCTACTTCTGTGAGAGGGAGGGAGTGAAAGACGTAGGACAGGTAGGAGATTGATGGAAGGATATATAAAGAGAGGGGAGAAGAAAGAGATAGCTATGCAGTGTGTGTGTGTGTGTGTGTGTGTGTGTGTGTATATGTGCGTGTATGCAGGGTGAGTGGGTTTGGTCGGACAAGGGGAAAACGCGGCATTCTTGGAGCCAGTAGCCAGCACATACCAAGGATTCTTTGAAACAAAACGGACATTATTTTTGGAAACAAGACCAGGGGGCTGTTGTTTGAGGAGGCAGAGAAGGAGACAGTTTTAGAGCAAGGAGGAGGAAGAAGAGGATGAGGCAGTCGGTTTGAGATTACAGTAAAGAGCCGACTTGAGAATTTCTGAGTTCCTGTTCCTCGTTGCTGCAGGAGGTGACGAATGTACAGGATGAAATAGAGGGAAAGGATGATGAATACCGGATCTTGAGCAGGGCTACTAATCTGTGCTGTAAGTCACTGGTTCCCAACCTGGGGGCCAAGACCCCCACTAAGGGTCACCAAAGCTTCACAGGGGATCTTGAGGCCTTTTTCATTTTAAGGGTGTGAGAAAACTTAGCTATAGGCTACTAACAGAGCCTCCCCTCTCTGCTAAAGAGCCTTGACCTACAATAGAAAAGTACGTGGTTAAATCAACCAAAAAGTCAATACAACAAGGGCGAATTGTCAAGAAGATGAAAATACTCAATTTGTCAAAAAAGAAGTCTATTAAGTATGTATGATGATTAAAAAAAAAAACATAAAAACACAACACAGACAGAGAATCATATTAAAAGTTACCAAAAATATCATGAAAACTCATCTGTAATACAATATTCACAGGAAATAATTTGCTCAAAGTCCATCCACATTGCTTATTTGTGTAGGGTGGGTCATTCCTTCGCTATCCTAGGATTCGCAAGCCTCCCTGATTAACACTGGTAGCTCTGCCAGCACTGTTGTTCTTAGCACTGTTCACACTGTTAGGACTGTTAGCTGCTAGCTCTGTAAATTCTACGTGCCTCCATGTTGAGAGCTGTGTGCAAGCAATCCAGGCCCAAACTCTGAATCATAGATATGCTCAGAACATCGTATAGAGCTCCATTCAGAGTGGTCATGAAAAAGCCAACCGTGCTAGCTGAAGTGTCTGTCCTCCTAGGGTGTTGTGATTGCAGCAATTAATGCAAATTCAGCCCATTCCCTTGAATTCTGCGCAACCTTTTAATTTTGTCCAATTACTGCAACTTTGCCACAAATCTGACCGTTTTATTTCATTGTAGAGCCGCAAGCAGCATCTTGATTCGCTCAGCCCCTCTCTGTCTCTCTAGTCATCATGAGACTGCTGCTGCAGGACTGGAGCTGCCATAGAATTGCGCACTTCAGGCCGCAACAATCCCCAGAACAGCCCGTGAAATCCTGGAGGGACTTAATTATACACTGGAACAGTATCTTGTTTGGCCCTACTTGTCTTTCTGCATCGAGTTTGTGTATTTGTCCATTTTCTATCTTCTATCATAAATACACAGCATAGTACTGTAGTTCCTGGTTATAGCAAGGGGCTGTGTGTGTGTTTGTGTGTGTGTATGTGTGTGTGTTTGTTTGTTTGTGTAGCTGGATGGTGAGGTCAAGGGTCCATTTGGCAAGGAGCCTGTATAATCCTGCTGTTAAATCTTTCACAGATGCAGCAGGGATCTTAACTGATGCTCAGGCTCTTGGGATGTGCTCTTGTGTGTTTGTGTGTGTGTAACCCTGCATTCATTTGGTGTAGGAATAATAAAAAAAATTAGTTCCCTCGCTGGGACAAATCTCACAAACCCTCCTCACATCGGAACAACTACTTGGAAGTTTGTAACATAAGTTGCGAGTTTTATTATGCAGGGGCGGCAGGATGTAGAGCGGTTCGAGCACCAATTGGTGGTCTGCAGGTCGAAATATGTTCAGGTGCAGGTGGCACATGTAATCTGTAGTATGGTATATTAGGTGTAACCGTAACTTCTTGTCCACATAAAGTGACCAAGATTAGATAAAACATGTATAGCATTAACCATACAAGTCAGGTATAGCAACATTTTAGTATTTTTAGGGAATCTACCGATGCAGCAACAAGTGTGGAACAAAATCACTTTGTAATATAAAGCTTCAAACTGTTTCACCATACTTGGATAGCAACTTGAATCCTCACTGGGACATTAAATGCTCCTAGCAATGAAACATAACACACCTTCTTTGTGGCATCCATGTTGTTTCCACATTACGACTTGAAGGCTCATGAACACACCAAAGTCGGAAGAACGACTTTCCGACTGGGGAAATGGGACCATCCAAGGAGCACGTAAATGCAGCAAGTGTGCGTGAGATTTCTGTGAGAATAATAGGACAGGAAGTCAGTAAGTGGCCACCCTTAACCCCCATCAGGAGTTCGCACTAGCAAAACACCTACCGTGCGTCAAATTTGTGCAAAGAGGAAACGTTGCTGTCAAGGAGAGGAGGAGAAGAAAATAATTGTTCCATGTTGTCTAGTTTGAATTAGGTCTTATATGGCTGTGCAGGACATTGTGCATTCCTCATGTACATCCGTATTGGCTGTACCAGTACGACATGTACGTCATGTTCCTCTACTACACACATTCTCTGATAATGCAAAGGAATATCTAGTTACATCTGCATGACTCACACACATAGCTACTTATGTTTCCTTGCATGCATCCTGTTACAGTTTGGCATTTTTGGCCGTTATCTCAGAAGCAGCACATTATTTGGATGAACAATGAGATATTGTCAGTGAGAAGAATACTTTGGAGGTCATACTGAGACATGACGCATATGCAGCACATTTGCACGGGTGAGATCATATATACCCACACTTCCTTTGCACACACGTGCCGCTTTAAAAATGATCTTAGCACCCTGAGGGCTGAACAGTGTCCAGTGTGTCTCTCTTTTCTGTGCTCTGCTGATCAGGCATTAATGCCCAGTCCAGGGGGGGCGGTCAGAGCTTAGATGGACAGTGAAATACAAGCTGTTTTTGCTCTGAGTCCACATACTTTGGTGTACTTTATCCATTCCTTTCACCTGTCCTGTTAGCTGCCACCTACATCCTCCCTCCTCATCCCTGCAGCTTATTTCATATTCCCCCTTCCCTTCCTCACGTTGCTTTCCCAGCCAGCAGGTATTTGGGTCACAAAGCATTCACAAGCACGCAAGCGTACACATGTTGATAGCTCCACAACTACTAAATATGTGTGGCCTAATCTCCGACCCAGCATCCAGTGCACCCGGCCTGACAGAGATGCCACATCGGTGTGGAGTGTCTGGTGATGTGCGAATAATCCTCTGATTTCAACACTGGTTCATAGAAAAGATACAAACCTAAAAGAACTTGAATATTCTCCTTTGGTGGATAGCGTCACATCAGTTACAGAAGGTCAGGTCGGTCCTGAGGGTTCCCTGGAGTGTGTTTGTGCTGTGTTGCATAACCATAGCAGTTGATGGAGCGTGTGAATTGTGTCTTCCAGTGTCTTGTAGATGTTTATTTCCAGCAGCTGAGAATGCTGGAGTTGTGACCTAGAGTATAGGCCTGCTCGTCCATAGGGACATTGACAGAATTGTATGATCAGTGGTATGTCAGGATGTCAACCTCACAAAGTAGTCCTGTTGCCTCATCTGCACAATAAACCTCATCTCTCTTGTTTGCCGGCCTTCTTTAAGCTCATAGTATTTCTAAATAAGACACCCTCATGTGACTTTATTTGTCCGCCTCTGTCTTGTCCTTGTATGGTGCCATTGTGGTGACTCTATCCAAAGAGGTTTAGGGGCTCATGTTGTGTCTGTTGTGTGGGTGGTTGTGGGCTACATCGGGGTACAGTGAGTGCCTGGGATTAAGGAAGCAGAGTGTGAACAGTGCAGCTGTCAACCGTCTGCCTCTGAGCGTGCTCAGATCTCAGGAGACCTGCTTTCACACATCCAGCCCTTAAAACCCGCATAATCACCTCTAATACCCACAGATTTGATTTGTGTATGTATGTGCGTGTGTACAGTTGTATCAACAGTATGTATGTCTTTGTTTCCATGCATGTCTATACAATTAATACATGAACCATTTATCAGAGACTACGTTTACATGCACACTAATGTTCCATTATTTTACCCAAATACAACAATATTCCGACTTTGATACGGGTCATGTAAACAGCATATTCCGTTTTGATATTCCGCAATAGGCTTTTTTCCCAGTGAGGCATTTTCCGTTTTAGACATGTGGGATGAGCTGTTATAATTTAGATTTTAATAGCATTATTTGGACAGGTAAACAGCGTTCCTGGCGACTAATTTCCCTGTCGACTGAACGAAAACTTTAATAAAGACTAGTCGACTGGTCTAAAAAAAGGAAAACACTTTTATGGAGAATGAGCTCCAGCCTGGAGGTTATCACTTTGCATCCCAGCACGGTCTATTCAGGCTCAACATATTCTACCTGAACTACCTGAACTACCTGAAGCCTTTACCTGCATTGCTAGCAGCAGCCGTTGTTCCGTGCAGGTTAACATCCAAATGATTGAGTTGAATGTGGTCACGCATTGCTCCAGTCGAGTGATTATATGCCATGTTTTTTCTGACAAAGCCTACATGCTACCTTGCTTTCATTTTCTAGATCACCACGCTGGTTTTGCGAGAGGACATCTCTCCAATTTCCCACCACGCTGTTTTAAAACTCCAGTCTACTCGAGCATTACCGCGGGGAGGGGGACTGTTGTCTGACGGCTCTGCAGCCCCCACTAGTGGCGAGCGGCTGCATGACAGTTAAGCAGCCTTGCACATGAATAAAACACTAATTGGTTTAACCAACTAATATTTCTGGTGCCGACTAGCGAGGGGGCGGACGTTTAATAGTTTAGACAAAGTCTCCTATAGCGCATTTTTTCTATTTTTGCACTTCCAACTAATGTTCAGTTTTAACTAATGTCCTTCATTAAATGAGATTTACTTTGTATTTTTAATTTGTCAGGTGTCTTATTGACACACAGTTTCACAGTCATGTCAATATTCATACATTCAAAACTCATATTTTGACATGTGGATCTAGGTTACCCATTCTGTGTACATCTATCGGTCCAACCACTGAATACTGCCAATCGACTAACAGATGGATGGATACCTGTGCTAATACATATCCTTCCCCTGATGTAGATGAAGACCTTTAGTTTATAGACTGAATTGTATTAAATTAATTGTGTTAAACAGAGTGTTACAGCTAACCCTCTGCCTGTTACAGTTAACCCAATCCATGGGGTACATTGTAACATTTAACTTCCAAAAAAAAAAATGAACAAAGGCTCGCAACTCGTCTATAAAATGCTCCCAATGTGACAGCATTTTTGATCAGCAAAGGGTTGAACAACCATCTCCTGAAAATCTTACACTGTTTTCTTGCTGTGAAAGATGAGATCTAGAGCTCTGTTGTCAACCACCAGTGATCCCAACATGTGACACGCACAGACTCAATAGCGTCTCATTTTTACAGGTGGCGATCAAGTCGATCCGCAAGGAGCGCATCACCGATGACCTGGACAGAATTCACATCCAGAGGGAGATCGAGATCACTGCCTCGCTCAGGCACTCCAACATCATACGCTTCCATGAGGGTAAGTCTGTAAACCCGAAGCCCTCACTCCAGGTCGAAACCGGAAACCCTCTTGCTGTGAGGCAGCAATGCTAAGCACTGCATCACTGTGCTGCCCTGATCTTATTAACATGTATTCCAATAGATTGCATGAAATAATGGTCATAGCTACCGTGACGTCACAGACTGGTTTGTGGACTCTTGCTTTGAAGCCTCGGATTCAGCATTTCAGTGGTAGCCATTTTGGACAGCCTGTAACTCAGAGTGGCTATGACGTTATTTATAGGTAACTTTAAGCTTTAATAAAACATAAACGGGTGAGTTATATAAACATTCACACCCCATACAGTTGGCATGAAGGGGAAAATTAGCTATAGAGACCAAAACCATTTTTTGTACCAGGCTGTAAAGATGTTTAATTGTGCTGTGAAGTTGGGCATTTTCACATGGGGGTCTATAGGGGATTGACTTGCTTCTGGAGCCAACCTCAAGTGGCTATTTAAAGAACTTCAGTTTTTTTGCTTGGCTTCATTTTTCAGTCCCGGAGGTTGCTGCTTAAGTACTCCCTATCTGTCCAAAGCCTTATGTAGCTTCTTCCTCTGTGCCATTGACACTGCTGATATCCGAAAACTGTTAGAAACACAGCATTTAGACATGTAGCTGCACTGTGTGACATATTTCTTCATTAGCATGAACATGGACACTATGAGTTGACCCCACATGAACCTAACCTGATCAGTGTCAGATGGTTTGTTACACAGAACTAAACTGTTTGGAAGAGGACAGGAACTTGCAAAAAATGCTTAGAATAGAAAGCCTCTATTGTCATTGTACAAGGGCCAAGGGCCACTTATACAAAGTTAACAGTGTCTACGATACCCGATGGGTTCAGAGATACATTTCAGCCAATGAGTTCTGCATGATTGGTTAAAACTACTCTGACTGCAAACAAACTACAGACAGAAACCAGAACACTTCCAAAACCAGAATCTTGTCCTGTCACCTGCAGTCTTTTTATACAGACTAAGGTAACCATAAATTGTCTTGCTGCTATAGCTATAAGTACTCATTAGAGCATCACATGCTCAGCCAAAAAGAGTCGCCATCAAGTGCAATTTTTACTCCTGTTGGTTTGGGTCTTTTCCTGTGAGACATTTACAAATAGAAGTCTCTAATACTTAGTATCAATTGTTGAATTTTATCCTGTTGACACTTTTTGTCATGTGAATGAGACATTGTATGGGATGCTGAACACTTGGATGGTAAACCTCAATCAGGTGAGAATCTTACCTCATGAAACTCATACAAGTGACCAACAGTCTGCACAATTACTGGTTCCTGTTAAGTTCAGATAGATGCAGGATTCAAAACCTCAACATGTTGTTGTAGAGTGAAGGTTTGTGGCATCCTTTTGACACTCACATAAACACAGCATCATAATGCAGACCTGTAAATGTGTCTTTGCAGTGTTTGAGAGCCGGGATAAGATTGTGATAGTGATGGAGTACGCCAGCAGGGGAGAGCTCTACGATTACATCCAGGAGAGGAGAAGACTGCCTGAAACAGAAGCCAGAGGCATCTTTAGACAAATCACATCTGCTGTCCACTACTGCCACAAGGTTTGCACACACACAAACTTTCCGCAAGTACACCACAGGCATTCAGTATAAATTGGGGATGTAGGCACGTGCTGAATCGCACACTGCAGTATTCAACTGCGCACAAGCAAATACAGTACCGCTAAATCCACTAAATCCTAATCCTAATACTGCAGAAAAACTTGACTTGCGTTTTCAGATCTCTCTGGGTTAAGAGCGCGTTAGGCCTTGATTGTTTTCTACAGTCACACACTGACACAATTAACAAACACGTTGCCTTACTTCCTCCCTCCTCATTACTGTAAGCCCTGGCAAAGGAATAAATTCTTGTTTGCTCCTTTGGTGATATTTATTTGTGTGTTTTACTTGTATTTGTGCACATAAGATAAACAGCTTTGCCAAAACACAGTAATTATCAAGGGGATATATAAATCCCATTAATACAGAAGTGCAGTGCAGTTGAAGTGAGGCCTTGCAGTCAGCTGTTGGATATGAAAAAAAATGTTTATGTTTCCATATAATTCTTATTTTGGTAGTTTGGCTTCTTCGCGAATCCCTCACATTAAACTCAGAGATTATCATTCAGCTCCTGTAGCTTTTTTAGTCGACAGAGAGGTGGATTTTGTGCTCCTCATGCCCTCAAATATTGTCCCAAAATAGACATGAATGTTCCAGCATGAATGAATTATTGAATGTGCCTCTGAGGCATGCAGGGCACATAGAGGGATTATTGAGGCTTCAAAAGAAGAATGAGAATAATTCAGAGTCAGAGGTTTTTTCTTTTTTTCAAATCTGTTTATAGTCATTTAAAAGCAGCAATAACAGTCCAGGGACTAATAATAACCTGGTTTAATACATCAATTCAGCCTTTCTTTCTCTGCCTTGCATTCACATACGCATGCATACACAGGCTTACATACTGTGCACAAAACATTGTCTGAGGTCATGGGTCATTTCCTCCACTTAAGTGCTCTGAAGAGGATGTAATTAAGGAAAGAAAGGAGGCTATTCTGGCTCATTAGCTAGTGGCTTTAAGAGATATGTCGGCAATGTTTAAAATTTCCCTGCGTCACGCGGCTTCCTGGGTGGCCACAGTTATCTAGAGCAGCATTGTCTCTTCACATGATTTACTACCTACTCAAAGAAAACCTGCAACAGACGCCCCCCCCCCCCCCCCCCCCCCCCNAGCCGGAGGCAGTGAAACAGGCTGCAGTGTAACCCACTCAGGGCATGTTCGCACCATCAATTGACATCATCTAAAAGTGCTTCTTTTTGCCCTGACAGGCTCAGATTGTTCTTATAAGTGTCTGACAATTTTTGAAAAGGATCACCACAGAGAAAGACCTTTTTCTCTAAGAGTAAGAGTCTTTTTGTTTAACCAGAAACAGCTCTGAAAGTGCAGTCGCCAAACCCACCAGACTCCATTTAAAAAATATATAATTTTATTATTGTTAAACACATTTCAGTGAAAGTCGACGAAAACGAAATGAAACTTACAAAAGCCGTCTTGGTTTGTCTTTCTGCTTTTCCAACAATCACCAACTCTGGTTCGGTTGATATACACCCCTACTTCAACCAGTTAGATGTAAAATTATGCTGGCTCTATACATGCTAAAATTACTGTTTATTTAAATGGAGTCTGGTGGTAATGGCAATGGTGATTTCGGGGCTTTTTCTGGTTAAACAAAGAGGACCCTACTCATTCACAAAAGGCCTGTCTCTGTAGGGATGCTTTCCATAAATTGTGAGACACATAGAACAACAATCTGAGCCTGTCATCGGCAAAAACAAGAACTTATAGTGAACATAAATTGACGATGCGAACATGCCCCGAGTGGTTACACTGCAGCCTGTTTTGCCGCTGCCATCTGCAGCAGTCTCACTCAATGCTGGACCATTTTCAGAAATTGTTGTTCCCATATGTAACAAATGGGAACAAAAATGCAGATCTTACCTTTCATTCTAAAAACTATTCATATAAAAAGCTCAGCACAGTTTAGGTAATTTAAACTATCTGGGTAAGAGTAGAAAAAGATTGTGGTCACTGTCACCGCTGGCTTTTCACAGGAGGCAGGATGCAAACTTCCTCCACCTTTACTTCTGACAGACAACTGTCCTGGATCATGTGACCACAAGAGGTTGATTGTCACGTAACCTTTTTGGTGTTTTAAAGGAATAGTTTGCCAATTTGGGAAATGTGCTTGTTGAGAGGTAGATCGACCTTCCATTCTAATTCTGAGCAAGGATGTGAATGAGTATATTCCCAAAAATATAATTATTTCTTTAGCATTTGAGCAAATTACCGATACTGTCATTTTTTTCTGGTCCAACATTTGAGGTGAGGAATTTCAAATTAGCTTGTTTTGTCCTTTAAAATCTCAGTGTGTAGGATTTTGGGGGATATTTTGGCAGGAATGGAATATAATATAATAAGTATGTTTTCTTCAGTGTGCATTCACCTGAAAATAAAAAAACATCATGTTTTCATTACTGTAGAATGAACTATGTCTACAATGGGAGCAGGCCCTCATCTAAGGAGTCCACCATGTTGCACCACCATGTTTCTACAGTAGCCCAGAATGGACAAACCAAACACTGGCTCTAGATAGGGTCATTCACGTTTTTGTGTCGGCCACCATAGTTAGCAGCCCCTCTGCGACCACTTTAAATCCCCAGGTCAATTTGCTTTGGAGAGGAAGTGACCTCTTTGGATAACACGGCTCCTGGTAAAAACCTCCTTCTCAGGACTTCTCAGCAGGAGTTTATGCTTGGCACACGGGAGAAGTTCCACCTGGTTGCAAACTGCAGTCCTCATGCTAGATGTCACTAAATCCTATGAAGATTTTTTTTTACTTTTTGACTGTACTGCCATCTGAAGGAATGATAGAATAGGATAGAGATCTCTATTGTTCACTCACATGGAGATTTGTCTTTGAAGATGGAGAGTATCTTTCTTTTTAAAACATTTAAGTGACTCCCACATTCAAAAGCACCCAAGTTCTGTTGCAAAATAATTGTAGTAAATTGAACAGGAATCACTTTTTATCCTTATAAAAGCTTATGACTGATAAAGCACAAATAAGTGGTTGATTGAGTGTTACACTGACATTTTTAGGCATAATAAATAATAAACCCAAGTAATTCTTGTTGTATAGTTGTCCTGTAATTCATGGATGTGTTACTGAGGTCCAGAGGCCAAAAGCGTCAGCACCCCTCCACACATATTACACTCACATTAATGCGACCGACCACAAAGAAACTCAAAAGCAAGGTTTCATCCAAGCACCTTCAGTGTGGTAACCAAAAGTAACCCTTCAGACATGGTACCTAGACCCTAGTGTTTCCACTGCAAACAGTACTCTTAAATGCGGGCGGGGTTGTTGTCACTCACTGCTCCTTCCAGCATTCACTGTATTTCCTCCATTATCAGTCTGCACCTCATTTATCGTCCACAGATTGAGGCTGCACACCATCATTTCAGAGCAAAATAACACAGGCTGCAGTGAGAGTCTCTCTCCATGGGATATTTAAAAATAGCGGGTTTGTGCATTTTGGTCTCGCTCACCAGACCTTTCTCAAAAAAAGAAAGGTCTGGCTGGGCCGACTCTCACTTTAAGATTGGAGAAAAAAAATGCCCCGGCTGCTTCAACCAATCACAATCGTTCTGGGCGGTGCCACAGCAAGGGTGCACTTGCAAAAATATTGCCGGGGGAAACAGGTTTTGGTGTAACACGCCCACAAAAATATTGCCTACAGGACACGAACCATGGCAGAAAAATGGCTACATCCCCCCAAGATCAAACACCGCAAAAGTTAGTAAAGGACGTGTTTAAAACGGTTGAAAACTACTACACAACCGGAGGTGGTAGGGCGGGACTTCAGCGGGTGGCTCGTTCTGCCCAATGAGAGGCTGATCTATGCAGCGAACTTCCGCCCACTCAGACTAGTGCATTTAGTTTAGCCAAGTGAGGATTAGAATATAATCCGGTCGAAATTAATATATAATTTTAAATTCTTGAAGATCCACTCATTACTGAAAGTGTATGTCATATAAAAACTGTAATGTTCAAAGTTTTCACAGTGAAATTTAAGGTGTGCTGATGGATTCATGTTGTCAATTCATACACTGAGTAACATTACAAGTAAATGTTCCACCTTAAAAGTCGCTGGCAGTCGGCTCAGTGAATTAAGTTATTTTTTCTCAGACTCCAGCTGCTGCAAGAGGCAGCAAAACATCCTTATATTTTATAGTTGCAGTCTGCAAATAAAACTCTCCACAGTATGAACAGTGGTTACATGAGCCTCAAAACCAGCCTCAACTCAGCCCTGAGCAGAGTGACTGTCCTCTCTTGACCAATCAACAGACTGCAGTGTTCACAGCTCCACCTTTTAGTACCAGATCTGTGTGCTAGGTACCCCAACAGAGGGGGGACCAAAAATGGGGATGGTATGGAAGGGATCCATTGGTACCATCCACAACTTTTCACAGTGCAAACAGAAAAAAAGCAAACCGAACTGAACTGAACCGTACTGCTCAGTGGAAACGGGGACAAACTGACCACAAAGAGATGCAAAGGAAATGCAAAGAGACAAAAATAACTACAAAAAGGGGCAAAGCAACCAGGAGGAGAAACAAAATGAGCACAAAGTCTGTGTGTCTTGCTCCTGTGTAGGAGAGGTGGTGGGGCCTTTTGCACATCTGTGCCCAGGGGCCCACACTCTCATAATCCGCCCATGCTGTAATCCCATGATGACTTTTTGCATGGTCTTTATAAACTGATATTGGTTAAGTTGCCTCTCCATAGATCATAACCCTTTCATGTGTCTTTATTATGTGGGTTTTAAATACAAAAGATGACTTAAATCGTGCAGTCTCACTAGCCACCATTACTCTTTCTCTCTGACTTCAAAGTCTCTGCTTCCTCCCAGTTTCTTCAAAATGTCAAGGATTTATTTTTTTCCTGGGCTCACCGCATGGCAAAGCATCAACAAACATGTCTGACTGAAGTGGTGGATTTAGGGTGAGTGTCTGACCCGCATGACATTCCATACGTGCCTTCTTCCCCTCTCTCCCGCTGTTGAGCCGGTCAAATAGGAGCCCTCGGAAAACCCAAAATGATCCCAAATGAGTGTGTGCGTCGCCGGGATGTTGCTATGAGAGCCGCTTTAGGAATGAGGAGGCTCCACCCATCGCTCCGGACCATGTGGTTCCCA